TAAAAACATCCAAGGTATTGTTTTTTACCTCTATGCCTAAGTAATATTACTATAACTTAAAATAACTCTAATATATTTTAAAAAGTAATTTATTCCTGTGATGGCAAAAGCTGAATTTTTAGCAGCCATATTTCAGTTCTCAGGAACACATGCCTCTTTAGAAATCAATCTAATATCCAAATAAAAAAAAGTTTTGCAACTTTTGTAACATTTTAAGTCTTTGAATGTCACTTTTGATCAATTTAATGGATCTTAGGGAAAAGGATTCTAAAATATGGTCATGGTAATTATACACGAAATATTCATGGTTATTTGTCGGTTATACGAATTAATATGCATGCTAATAAGCAATTAGAAAAAAGTAAGCAACTATCTATAAACTAATATATAAAATATTGAAACTCCCAATACAGTTTGATTTGTCATGCCGAGTACACTTGTGCCAGGCGACAGTTTCACACACAAGGAGGCAAAGCAGTGAGCAGTGTGTTGTGGCTATTTTGCAACACAGCTGTCTTTGTCTCAACAAAAAGTCTTAGTACTGTCTCTGTTTTGAGAGTGAGTGTGTATGTTGTTGTGATAGCAATTGAGTGTTAGCACATTCGCTATTCTTCTGACCTTGTGATCCCTACAATGATTTATTTGTTGTGCACAGGCTTCATCCACAATAGCTGGATAGTTAGTTAGTTAGCGCTTGCCAAAAACAAAACATGCCTCACACCTGTCTTGGCCATGTTGCACTGCACCTTTTATTTTTGCTTCTTTGTTTAAAACTAGGATAGTTCACCCAAAATTTAAAATTCTGTCATCATTTGGACACTCTCATGCCTTTCCAAACCTGTATGACTTTCTATCTTCTTAGAAACATATTGAGAATTTTTTTGAGAATTGTCTTTTTTTGTCCATAGAATGTAAAAAAAAAAAAATTATCCGAAGTTTATTGTAGTAGATTTTACAAAACAATACTATTTCAGTCTTTCTACTTTAAAATGTCATGTTTAATTCAGTGTTTTACTTGCAATTACTTTGTAATTAACTGTGAAATTTACTAGCAATTTCTGACTGAAAATTGTTTCTACACCGATTCATTTTCAAGTCAATGGTTACCAAAACTGTTTGGTTACCAACATTGTTCAAAATATCTTCTTTTGTGTTTGCAGAAGAAAGAAAATCATGCAGGTTTGGAACAACACGAGGGTTTGTAAGTTATGACAGGATTTTCATTTTTGGGTGAACTTTAATAATGACTTAAGCTTTGACTTTTGACTAAGACATTTTTCTTACAAGAGAAAAACATGAATGAATTTGACAAGAGCATTAGTAGCATATTATTTTTAAACTGGTTGAGGAACAAATTCATGAAAAGGAGAGTAATAATAATTTTTTACCTGTAAGATGCATGTCCCAACAGCTGTGTGCTCTTTGACAGTAACGTTATAGAATTGTTGTTTGAATATAGGTTTATTGTCATTGACATCTACCACATGGATGGTCACGGTGGCTGTAGAGGACAGAGAGGGGGAACCACCATCGATAGCCACCACCAAGAACTTCAGCTCTGTCTCTCTCTCATGGTCTAGGCCTGCAGCAGTGGTAATGAGACCTGATGTCGCATCTATATTCAACAACTGCTCCTGCTCTGGCTGCATAATAGAGTAGATGATTCCAGAATCTCCTCCAAGATCTCTGTCTGTGGTCTTGACTCGGAAGAGAGCTGTTCCCTCACGCACATCCTCAGGAATGCTCTCCTCGTAGATGTTTTGGTCAAAAACAGGTGGATTGTCATTCACATCTGTGACCTGAACCTGAAATGTTGTTTTGCTGCTCAGAGGAGGAGAACCGAAATCTCTGGCTGTCACAATGAGTTCATACACATCCTTTACCTCTCGGTCCAGTGGGCCATCCACACAGAGAACATAAAGAAAATCATCAGTGGATTTGAGGGAGAACATCCCATCCCCACCTTGGAGGTGCACATCAATCTTCTTGACATCTCCTAAATCTGGATCTGAGACTGCAATCCTTGCAACATAGTCTCCAGGTCTCGCCCCCTCGGATACTTCAGGTGCTCCGGGCTCATTAAGAAAAAGGATGCTAATATTTGGGTGGTTGTCATTGACATCCAGGACTTTAATACTTACAAATGTGCTGGAGGATTCAGGCTGAATCCCAGAATCCCATGCTGTCACAACGAGCTCAAAAAATGACTGGTTTTCATAGTCCAAAAATGTATTGACACTAATGATACCTGATGAGCTATCAATAACGAAAAACTCATTTGGATCACTTTGACGGCGGTTGATCTTATAGGTGACCCAGCCATTGCTGCCAAGATCTGGGTCTGTCGCAAATACCTGGCAGACAGGTGTCATTAATGGGGTGTTTTCCAATACAACAGCAAGGTACTCTGTTTGATTGAACACAGGCTGGTTGTCATTTTCATCAAGTACAGTAATATGCACTTGCAACTGGCCGGTTTTTGGTGGCAAACCACCATCGAATGCATCAATTGTGAAACTGTAGAAGCTTGTAATTTCTCTGTCTAATCTTGCTTGCAGAATAAGGTCAAAACTGAACATACCACCTCCACTATTGCGGATCTCGACTTTAAAAAGTTTCCTCATGTCTCCGTCTGTAATTCTGTAGCCCTGGATGCCATAATCACCCTCATCCTGGTCCTGAGCTCCTTCCAACTCAAAACAGGTTCCTGGAGGGCTCAATTCAGACACATTCAACTGTATCGTTTTCACAGGGAATGCAGGGGAATGATCATTCACATCCTTCACCTCGATGATTACTTTAATGACCTCTCCTGTTAAAGTGGCGGCCGCGAACTCGTACTTATCTGTGCGCTCTCGATCCAACACCACGGCGGTGGAGATGATCCCGGTGTCTCCATCGATCTCAAAGTCTCTGAACACATCCGAGTCAATGCTCTCAGATATGAAGAATCCAGAACTTTGGCTTTTCGCCGGCAGTCCAGCTCTTATATCCCCGACAATAGTTTTTGCAGGTAAACCTTCCTCTATGGAGAGCCTGAGATTGAACACCTGTGCGCAACCGTCCTCACAAAATAATGTAAATAAGAGAAATTGAAGTAAAGTCTGTACGTAAATCTCCATTTTCATATGAAAA